CCCAACCTAAAAACACCCCAAGGTGGGCCTGGCTTCATGGGCTTGAGACCTGTGCCCTCACATAGGCTCCACCCCCTGTGCTGAGAAGGACCCTGCAGGTAAGTTAATGCTCTGCTGTCACCGTCTAAAAATATTTAATACTTTTTATGGTACTGGGTCTCCCAAATGAGGTAGCTGCTCTTTGCAAGGTGTCCCTTGCTAGAGCTCTTCTGCTCCCTTCCTGTGCCCCTCCCGCTCCCAGTGACCAGGCGTTGTCTGCAATCTCCTCGACTGCAGGGCCTCGGGTACACCCAGCTTCTGGAGCCTTCTCTTCAATTCTCCTTCACGGAAACCCATGTTCTGAATGTATTGACAATGCAGGCAGCTATACACTCTCTAGCTGTCATACTGGAAAGAATAGATTATTTCGTTTACATTAAAGTGTTAGTAGCTGAGAAGGTATAAAGTGTCACCCTCAACTCCCATCTCTAGGTTAAGTGGCCTTTAAAGAGCAATGATCCTTTTAGCCAAGGATTGGCTCTCTAATTAGCAGTAATATAGATGTTGACCTTACACAGGTATTTTTGGCATCCTCCCTATGTAGATATTTTGAGATGAGGCAACTTTCCTATATCCCTCAAATTATACACTTAAGATGAAAGATTTATATGTTCAGAAGAGAAACCAGAGTATTAAGCACAAATTGGTAGTTACAAAATAGTCATGGGGATGTAAATTACAACATAAGGCATATAGTCAATAATATTGTAATAACTATGCATGATGTCAGGTGGGTACTAAACCTACTGGGGGATCACTTTGTAAGTTATATAAACGTCTAATCACTATACGCTATACACCTGAAATTAATATACTATTAAGCGTCAACTGTAAGCAAAATAAATAAATAAATAAATAAATATGGGAAGCAGGGAAAGAAAGAAGACATATGAATGTCCATATGAAAAGATAAAAAAATTATACTCTTACAGCAACTGCTGATATCATCACTCTATTTGTGAAACAGCTCTCATTCATATTAAAAATTGTTTTAAAAATTATGGTGTCATTGCATTGTTTTAAAAATTATGGTGTCATTGCATTTTTTAAAACTGGCAAAGCATTACCAAAGAGATATGTGTTTTTTCTAGCAGCTTTACAATAAACATTTTCCAAAAGCCTGATTACTTTCTCTACAACAGTCATACCTTTGAGTCAGAAATCAGAAGTCCTGAATTCCAAAGAAGTCTATGTTGCCATTTTCTAAGCACCATGACCTTGGGCAAGTTATTTGATACCATGAATTCTTTCTTTCCTCGTTTTTTTTTTTGTTTGTTTTTTTTAAAGAAGCCAAAGAATACCTATTTTCCTACTGGTGGGTTCACTTTGGGAGTTAAAGGAGATGTGCTTTGAAGACAATGAAAAAAGGCAAAGATTAAATACACTTCTGAGTATGAAGAGTGCTTTCTGGAACATCTGAAGGCAGATCCAGAGCTGAGGGCAAGGACGGACAACTGCGGAGTCTAGGGTGGGGATGAGGTTTGAAGAACTGATAAAGGACGAAAAGCTGCAAGAGCAGAACGGGGACCATCTCTGCCTTTCCCGTCATGTGTTAAGGACATGGTCAGTGGTAGCAGCCAGCCAGACATGGATAATTTTAAAATGAGGTATGACGGGAAAAAGCTGAATGCAAGAAGCAAGGATGGGGGAACAACAGGTTGGATGGGGTGAAGGAAAGGAGGAAGGTTTTCTGTATCCCTTTTCACGGTGACTACAGGAGTGCACTGCAGACGGAAGGGACAACAAAGGAAAATGGATGCTGATCCTGTGAAGGAAGGAAGGAAAAAGAAAAAGCTTTCAAGGAAAGTTTAAAGGAGAGGATCTGTTTGATAAACAACAGCTGCTCAGAAAGAATTTTATGTAGAAGGGATGTTGATGAATAAGTCAGAATGATTTCGAGACACATACTGGCAGTAGTTCAAATCCAGGGGGGTGGGAGTCCATGGCTTCAGATCAGCAGAGAAGTTGGCTATGTTTTGAAGATCCTATCAGAAGAGAAAGGACAAGCCTTGTGGGAAAACCTTGGTACTGATGCAAGGCCAAGGCTAAGTTTTCTGACCATTTGCTTTAGGAAGGAAGGAGCAGATAGAGGAGGCATTGTGATATGATTTAAAAAATGTATTTATGATTCCATTCAAAGTTAGAGGACAATTTGGTAGGCTTGACAAATTGTGACTAGGAAGTGGAAACCAAGGTGGAGGTCAGGCTACAAAAGCAGCTGTGGGAGGTAGTTGATGGGAGGGCGAATAGGCAAGATTAAGAGTAATGGGGGCCAAAAAATGCATAAACCATGCCCAGTGCTTTTTAGGATGTTGTTCCAAACAGAGTCAGAGCAGGTGTTGGAGGCCAACTTGGTTCGGAGTCAGTTTAGATCTGGTGTTCATGGAATTCTAGCAATAGCCAGTAGGAGAGCAGGGCACAGGGATACCAACTAGAGTACCTGGGGGATTTTGGTTCCCAAGCAGGAGTCTTGTTTACAGAGGCACAAAGCAGGAGAGATCAAGGTCATTGTGGGAGCAGCTCCAGCTGATGGGGTGCTGCCCCTTACTTTCTGATGAGGGCCCCTCTTCTGGGTGAAGGTAGGTCCCAGAGTCTGACGTGAAGCCACCAGATTCTATTGGAGCCAGGGTGGACAGTACTGATGGAAGGCAAGGGGAGCTGGGGGGACTAGGAGAAGGATTGTAAGAGGAGAGGGAGAGATCATTGGAATTGATCTTCTCAGGTACAAAAGGAAAACATGAGCCCTGGTGGGGCAGCTCAGTTGCAGGTTCTGGCCTGGTCAGAGCACATACAAGAATCAATTTATGCAATGTCTGCATAAATAAGTGGAACAACAAATTGATATTTCTCGCTTTAAAATCAATCAATAAAAATGAAAAAAAAAGAAAGCATTTTTGGAAGCAGTTACATGTGGGGTATGGAAAGGTGGACGAGGGGAAGGTAGAGAGAGGGAAGGAAACATAGGCTAAGTGTTCTACAAAGTGCCTCACAGGTGTAATCCATCTTAATGCCACCGCAACCCTGTGGGATATAGATTATTAGTTCCTGTTTACAGATACATGCTCAGGTTTCTTGCTATAGATACTGATAATAGCTGTGGCTAAACTTGGCTGCACACTTACTGTGTAAAAGGCACTTTGAAAATTCTCTCTTAATCCTTCAACAAAAATAGAAAGTAGATAGTATTATTACTTCTATTTTGCACGTGAGAAAACCAAGGCATGGAGAAGTCCTATAACTTGCCCAAGGCCACACAATCAGAACATGGTGGGAATCATGATGCAAACCCAGGCAACCTGTCTCCAGAGCCTAGAATCATAACCACCACAGTGAGCAGCCTCCAATAAGCCAAAGTTAAGAGAAAAATAGAGGACAGATACACTTACAAGATTTAGAAATTATTATCTAAAAGGGGTCAAGGACAGATAGAAATAGAGAGGGAAAACTTTAGCCAATAAGGGGATCTGAATGTTTCATTTTTAGAGACACGAAAAACTTTATTGATAATTTTAATAATAATGAAGAGAATAATAACACAGTTTACATGTACTTAAGGCTTACCATGTGCCAGACTGTTCTAAGTGCTTTATGAATATTATTTCATTGAATTTTAAGAAAAATCTTTGTCTCATCGAAATCTAAGGACCTAGTAGGTGCTTGATATTTATCAAATGAATCTTAAAAGGTGACTCTAATTTTACTTTTAGGAAACTCTAGGTCACAGAGCAAAATCTCCCTCTCTCTCTTTTTTATTACCTCTCAGCTTTTATTTTTGTCTGAAATTATCCTGTTTATTTCTTAGCTTGTTTATTATCTCCTCTCTCTCTGTTAGCATGCAAACTCTAGGACAGTAGAGCCTCACTCATGCCGTCCAATGCTGCACTGGCAGCATCTGGAACAATGCCTTGGGCAGGAGGTGAGTAATCAGTATTCGCTGTATGAATGAAAGAAGAGAGCCCAGTATTTCAGCCTTTCAGAGCAGCTCTTCTTCCGCTACAGCACATTGAAGTACAGAGCGGAGGTCGGCTGCTCATATGCTGGTACAACAGCCTTCTTTCTGTCTGTGTCTGTTCTCAAGGAGCACCTGCGCACTTTCTCCATCACTGGCTCACCTATTCACGTACCCAGGTAGGCTTTGTTGGGGTGAAAGGAAGAAAAGTTCTTTTTTGTTCTCTTTTCAACCCATAAGCGGGGATCATCACAAAAGTGATCAAATGATCTATGTATAAAAGTGACTGTTTCACCTTATAGCCACAAGAATGTCGCCCCAAATTTATCAGATGGTAAATTTTATGCGTATTTTTCACAATTAAAAAAGGGGGGGCTCTTGGTAGTATGACATATACCTCATTTTAAAGGATCAAGATGAAGACGTTGGAGTCAAAAGTGGATGATTCAGTTAAGTCAAATGAAAATACAGAGTATGTAAGGAATAGGGCTGTAGACTAAGAAGGAACAGTTACCACCACAAACAACCTGCATCAGAGACAAAGAAGGATCAAGCATAAGCTTTTGGTCTTGTTCTCTCTCTCTCGCTCTCTCTCTCTCTCTCTCTCTCCAAGGGCATGCTTATAGCGGAGAGAGAGAGAGAGAGAGAGAGAGAGAGAGGTGAGAGAGAGACATTAATTGGTTCTCTTTCTCTCGTGCGTGGATTGAACCCAAAATCCAGGTATATTCCATGACCAGGAATCAAACCGGCAGCCTCTCAGTGCACAGGATGACACTCAACCAACCGAGCCACCCCGGCCAGGCTGGTTTTGGACTCCTGATGGTCAGTATTGCAAACAACACTTTCTTTGTTGGCTTTTGAATATAACGTATATTCTTAAGCACTTTACACAAATCACTACAGAGATTTAGGACTTTGGAGCCTGTGATGTTTGCAAAGTCAGGCTGGTCAGAGCAGGTTGTGACAGGTAACGATGCGCTGATCTCTATGACCCAATCCCACAGACACTCACCTGTCTACACGAAGCTGGCAGACAATGCTTAGTGGATCCACAACTCCTTCCTCTTTCAACTGTCGACAGCCAATGGATGTAGCAATAAAACACCCCGTCCTACCTATCCCTGCACTAAAAAGAAAGGACAAAGAATAAAAAGGTGGAAGAAAAACAGCAAAGATAAAATATATTTTTAAAAAGGTACCTTTAAATTTGGAACAACAGCTGGGATGAATAACAATAGCAACACCAGCAGCTCTCATATACTGAGTATTACAACCTGGGCTCTGTGCTAAGTGCTTACACACATTCTCTCCTTTAGTTATATGCAGTTAGATGAGTAGGGTGGAGGGAGGTGTTGGGTGAGGAGAAAAGTGAAAAGTGTATTGTAACTGGTCTACAAAGAATAATTAGGGTCTGAATTTAGGTAAGGTATGGGCACTAAAAAAGGAGGGAAGAGACATCACAAATGTGAGTCTGAAGGACTGGAGTTGAACAGTCAGAAAAGGAAAAAGTCAAAGATGACCAGGACTAGAAGAATGGTAGTCCCCATGAGACAAAGGTGGAATTCTGGAATGAGGGCTGACTTGAGTTTGGTCTTGGATATACTGATGGTGAAGATTGTCGTGAATAACTGAAAATTCAGTTCAGTTTAGGAGAGAGGAAGTACTAGAGGTACATATTTCTAAGTTATTTATAGTTGGATAGAAACACTACTGTCCAGGGAGTTTACACGTTTTTCTGCATTCGACAGTATGTCATCAACCTAACAAGCCCTTTCTCTCTCTCTCTCTTTCTCTCTCTTCCTTCCCTCTCTCTCTCTCTCTCTCTCTCTCTCTCTCTCAGCAATTTCAACCACTAATAGTCTTTATGTAAATTTCTTTTAAATTTACACTTAAATTCCCTAAGTTTCTCCTAAGCTCTAGATTGGCATTCCATCTCCTAGTTCAGTCTGTGGATGTTACTATTTTGCACTTGCTTCATCTCAGTGCATCTAAGCAGAGTTGGTTATATTTTCCCTCAATGGCATTACCAGTCAGCCCCAAGTTTTCCAGCTGCAAAATCTTGGAGACATTTTCAACATCTCACGCTCTAACCTCCCACATTCAAACTGTTACCAATTCCTTTATTTTCCATCTTTACTGAGCTTTGTGATCCCCCCTTCTTTCCTTTCTATAGACTGTGCTCACGTTTTTGACATCTTATTTTATGATTAGCAATGATCTCATTATGGGTTCCAAGTCTCTGGTCTTTTCCTGGACTAATTCACAATACACTCAGCTGCTAGGGACCTGATCATATTACTCGCTACTCAAAACTGTAGATGGCTCCCAATAGTTATAGCACAACATCGAAGCTCCCTACTATGGTATTCATGACCTTGAATAATATGAATGTGACTAATTTTCAAGCTTAATGTCTTTTTATTGTAGTCCTTGTACCCTTTGTGCCATTTTTTTCATTTACATGAATCATTGCAAAAAAAATGCCTTTCGTTTTCCAATTTTCCTTTCTATGTTGATGTTGATGATATTTCTTCAGTGAAAAAATGCCCTCCCTACCATCTTTTAAAACCACAAACATTGGTCATTTTTAAAGATCCTGTTCAACATTATTCCAATGTTTAGAGGTTTTCTTTAAACTTCCTAGTTTGAATTAATAGCTCCCCCTTGGCACTCAAATAGCATTTACGTCCTCCTATTTAGAGCTTGTTTCTGTGAATGTGAGTGCAAAGGAATTCCGAAATAGAATGGGCCCCCTTTAGTTGAAGTGTCTATCAAGAGTTTGTTTCATTAAAGATAGAGGATTTGAACTGTACCGTATGAACGGCAGGCATTTTGGTTATCACAAATGAGAGAAAAAATTTCAGGCATGAGAAGGGTTTAAGGCAACAACGAGTAGGTTAAGTTTGGCTTGAAAAGAGAATTGTTTGAGAGAAATAGTGGGAAAGAAGGCTGGGAAGGTACACTGAGACCCATTAAGGGTCTCACATGGAAAGCCAAGAGGTTTGGAGTTTATCTTTTAAAACTTTTTTATATTTTAGAATTTGATGAAAACTAGGACATTTCACTTTTCAATAAAACTCACATAACATTAGATACTCAAATTTGTTTAAGTAATTTCAAGGAGTTCTCTGACTCCTGTAGCTCAAGCATAGACCCAAGGTTATGAACTTTTGATCTAGGCAATGGGAAGCCATTGAGAAGTTCTGAGCAGGGAATCCATGTGATGGAAGAGGGTTTCAGGAGCATCATTGCAGATAAGTGCATTGGGGAAGCCATAGTCGGGATGGGCCTGGGGAAATGGGGTGTGTGTGCAATTAGCTGACTACTTCTAAAATATACGAATGAGATCATAAGGGCCTGAACTTGGGTGTTTGGACAGGAAGTGAAGATTATGGGAGCTTTGAAGGGAAAGCCAATCTAGTGACTGATTAGATACTGAGGCTGGAATTAAGAGAAAGGCCAAAGATAACTGTCAATGTTAGAGGTTGAATGCCTGGAAGAAAGATGGTCTCGCTCTTAGAAATACTAATCAGAAGGGGAGCTGATTTTGCAGGAGAAGTAACTAGTTTATTTTATATATCTTCAGTGTTTTATGATTTTGGGTGGGGGACAGTTCCAGCCTAAAGGATGGCCAATTAGGTTATTTTTCCTCAGCCCCAAGCTAAGTTTAGGATAAAGCTTAATGCTAAAAGTTGGATAATGATGCTTTTGAATAAGTAGACATATAGTAAATTTTACTCTTAATTAAACCACAAAAGTTCAAAAAAGAAGGAGGCTAAAATTATCATCTAAAACAGAGATGGGGAACATCCAGCCCATGGGAGAGTATAAGGTCATCGAAATCATTTGGTCTGGCCCTGCCATGGCATTAGGGGCGAGTTAATTAAATGTATGACCAAATATAGCAGGCTAATTTTTAAGTTGATAATTTTGTGCAGCCCAAGAATGATGTTATAAATATCCAAATGGCCCTTGACAGAAAAAAGGTTGCCTACCTCTGATCTAAAATAATGTATTTTGTTTATTAAAGATATCATCAAAAGCTATCCTACAAGACTCATGACATTAAATGAAGCAACAAAAATTACAGTGTTTTGAGAAAGTATTAAGAATAAGTGGCTAGTTATTAAAATATCTTTAAAAATAGTTGCTTGTGGGGGGGCACACTAAAAGGAAAACAAGGAGGATGAGGTATCCGTTGTGAGAGGAAAGCTTTGAGGGAAGAGGACCACCAAGGGCATCTGTTGCTTTTGTCGGCTGAACCTCCAGTAGCCCATGTTTGAGTAACAGCACTTTGTTTTCCTTTTTTTTTTTTTAAATTTTTTTTTATTGATTTCAGATAGGAAGGGAGAGAGAGAGAGGGAGAGAGAGAGAGAGAAACATCAATGATGAGAATCATTGATTGGCTGCCTCCTGCATGCCCCCTACTGGAGATTTCGGGCATATACCCTGAAGGGGAATTGAACCAGGGACCCTCTGGTTCATAGGTCATCGCTCAACTTCTGAGCCACAGCAGCTGGGCTTGTTTTCCTTTTGGGGAACTACCTCTTGACCATGTACCATTTAATAATTTATTTCCATCTGTTTTTCATGAACTAACTTTTAAAATAGTTGACTGACTAAATGTGAAATAATAATACATGTTACCAAGATAAAATTCAAGTATAGTTCAGGTGCCATTTTGAAACAACAAAAAAAGCCACTAATAGTTAATTCCTAGTGTATATTATACTGATGAAATGAAATGAATCAAAATAAGTTTCAAGGTAGAAAGAGGACTGAATTGGCCAATTTCCTGAGCCATTTATTCAGACATGATATTTCTTCCACTGTATAATTGCTTGCTGAAAAATGCCCTTATATTGTCACTGTAAACATCATCTTGATCAAGACTCAAATATGAGGAAGTCAACCAATTTCAATAAATATTTAACTTACTGACAAAGTCACAACTAAGAAGGAAAACCCAACTTCTATCTACTCTATGACTTTACAAAGGATGGCCTGTTTGCTTAGGCGGAAAGGAAAGTTCGTGCCTTACCTGCAGTGGACAACCACAGGCCCTCGGCCTGCAGAAGCAAGTCTGTCTTCTTCTACATCCAGCATGAGTTGTAGAAGGGGCTGAGCACTGTCTGGAGTCTTGTGATCAGGCCACGAGGTGTACCAGTAATGCTTCACATGTTGGGTGTGACTTCCTTGCTGAAAATAGCAACAGCCACCAAGTGCCTCATTTACTTTTGTAACTAAAAGTCATCCAAACCACAATACTGCATGCCTTCTCTCATTCCCATCTTGCTGTCAACTTATTTCTAGGTGGTAAATTGTGTGTGTGTGTGTGTGTGTGTGTGTGTGTGTGTGTGTTAATCCTCACCCGAGGATATTTTTTCCATTGATTTTTAAAGAGAATGGAAGGGAAGAAGGGAGGGAGAAAGAGAGAGAGAGTGAGAAATAGAGAGAAACATCAATATAAGAGAGACACATCGATTGGTTGCTTCTGCATGCACCCCAACTAGGCCAGGTATCGAACCTGAGACCCTTCCATGTTCAGGCTGATGTTGTAACCTGTAAGCAACACCAGCCAGGGCTCTAGGTGATTTTTGAAGAACAACCCTTCACCTTGAGAAAACTTTACTGTAAATGTCCTGATATCAAAGTTTGACAGTCTTGCCTCTATTAAATGATACACAATGATACACATATGATGTACATGTGAAACCTATATAATTTTATTAACCCATGTCACCCCAATAAATTTAATTAAAAATTTTAAAAAAGAAAATAAAGCAGAAAAAGAAATGAAAATATATATATTTAGTATAGAAAGTGATATGTAACATAAGCTAAATCTATGTTTGTAATTTACTATAATGAACCCAATGGTAGATGAAAAGGTAGCCAAGAAAGAATTGGGATATAGCGTGCTTCCTGCTCTTTGAACTTTCCTGACATGTTACTGGAAACATATTAACCAATCTAAAAGCACACTTTTACATGCAATCACTGTAATACTTCTACACTCATCCCAAATTTCGTTTTGTAACAGCAGTGAGAAATTCCAGTAATAAAGAGGCTTCAGGGGTCACTAGATTAGAATTGCTTTGAGGGAGGGTCCATGTGGGGTCCTGGCATGAACTAGGCACTTAGGACATAGGTTTAAAAACAGGCTTTGGTAGGTGCCTTCCTACCCCCAGCTTCTCATTAAAAACCACCAGAGCAGCCCTGCCCCTGGTCTCTCTGTGATGACTGCGAGGCTCTAGGTGGAACTGAAACCTTTGAGAGGATTGTTCTCTGCAATCAGAAACAATACCATGGCAACATTCCTCAGCATCTGCTGCCCGTAAGAGAAATAGATAATTTTCCTATGATGTAATCTGGTCTGGGGAAAGTTCCTATAAATTACTGTAACTCCAAGTGCAGAAGATCTCGTCAACACTTTAGGCTCGTCTTGCCTCCCACAGCCACCCACAAGCACAGATTTTCTCTCTCAGAGTCTCCAGGTCTTACTTAGAGCTGCATAAGCCGAAGTGACACTAAAAAACATCATGGCAAAGTCTCTAGAACAAGCCTTTAGCTAAAGGCATTCAAAAGGTTAAATCAAGAGAACTCTTATTTATGCAAATTATATAATAACATCCTACTTAGTAAATTTCCTTCATATACACTTATTTAATTATTCCATATTTAATTGTAGCTGATAACAAAGAAATACACGAGGGGAGGATTATAATTTCTCTTTCGTCTTGACAGTATTTAATTGGTTTAAATTAAATCTGTAGCATTTATTAGGATAATAATTTCAAAGTATAAATGTTATCCCTCTACCTTGGTCGGCAAACTGTGGCTTTCGAGCCACATGCGGCTCTTTGGCCCCTTGAGTGTGGCTCTTCTTAAGCCTTAGGAGTACCCTAATTAAGTTAATAACAATGTACCTACCTATATAGTTTAAGTTTAAAAAATTTGGCTCTCAAAAAAAATTTCAATCGTTGTACTGTTGATATTTGGCTCTGTTGACTAATGAGTTTGCCGACCACTGCTCTAGTATCATCTACTTTGTAGATAGCTATAGCCATGTAATCTTACCTTTAAGACGAGGTTTCGAACAGTATAGTTATCACATTCATTTACATTGATAACCAGAACCTCGACTTTTCCATAAATTCCTCTCTTTTCAGGCCAGTATAGCACACATTTCTGATGAAGGAGAAAGAAGAACAGCAAGTATTAATGACATTCATTGGCCTTGGAGTACTTCTCATTCAAGCATCTCAAGAGTTTCTTATTTAGTTAGTTTTTTAAAAATCAGGTATCAATTTTTACAATTCTGTGAATGTATTAAACCACTGAATTGTACACATTAAACGTGATTTTTACAGCATGTAAATTACATCTCAAAAGGGTTTTTTTTTAAAATGAAGTATCAAGTGTTGCATGTTCTTGGCAAACACTATTGCTACTAATCCCATACCAAAAACTAAAGGTAGAATTTCCCAAAACTCCACAGAAAAATTAAGAACACACTAAAAACTTAATTAGGAATTGAGAAATTAATATCCACACATTCGAGTTCATCATGTAATGACTAGAAATAAAAGAAATGTTTTCTCATGATGACTGAGGCAAGTCACATTTTCCTGCTTCATTGAGTGGAAGTGTCTACTGAGCATCTGCAATGTGGTAGACACCACAGGGTGAAGTTCCTCTCGTATGGGAGGCAGAGGTAATGACAATTAATGCCTGTATGGGAGTATATATTTCAGGAGCAATGGTCATTTCACCTATGGGGTCCATTACAATGGATGTATAACAAAATTACTTTAAAATATTTTTATAATGGATGCTCTTTGAAAGGTTTAATAACCATAATAATAATCATATTACAAACAAGGCAATTTAATATTGTGGTTAAGGTGTAGGCTTTGGGCCAGAGAGCCTGGGTTTGCCTTTTGGTTCTACTTATTATTTGCTGTGAATCCATCAGCAAGATACTCAATCTCTCTGGCCTCAGTTACTTCATGATTTACTCTGTGGAAAGCACTTAGAACCGAGCCAGGCAAATAAAAAGCACTCAAAACATGTTGCTGTTATTATTATTATTATTTACTAGAGGCCCAGTGCACGAAATTCAGGCACTCGGGGGAGTCCCTCAGCTCAGCCTGCGCCCTCTCACATTCCGGGAACCCTCAGGGGATGTCTGACTGACAGCTGAGGCCCGCTCTATGCAGAGAGAGGGCCTAAGCCATCAGTCGGACATCCTTAGTGCTGCCACGGAGGCAAGAGAGGCTCCTGCCACCACTGCTGCGCTCGCCAGCTGAGAGCCTGGCTTCTGGCTGAGTGGTGATTCCCCTGTGGGAGCACACTGACCACCAGAGGGAATTTCCTGCATTGAGCATCTGCCCCCTGGTGGTCAGTGACCGATGGTTCCACCGTTCAATCTATTTGCATATTAGCCTTTTATTATATAGGATTATTATTACTAGTGTTCTATTTTATAATTACTGGGCTTTATAGCTTCCATAGAAAGTGATCATTAATTATGAATTATATCCGGCATTAAATTTTATATTATTATGTCCAAGCTATATTATTAAAAGAAAACTATGAAATTAGATTTAGGCACACGTATCATTTATTATTTTGTCTTTTAACCAACTGCAAAAGACCAATTAAAATTTTTAGCACATATTTTAGTGATTAAGAAAGTAAAGGGTGACAGTTGAAGTTTATTGCAGTTGCCAGGGAGGCAGGGTTAACTTGAGAAGTATTGTTTAGATAGCACTTATCTTCTTCCAAGCACACATGCACATTTATAGGGAAACTCCTTCACTTGTTGCCTGCCATCGGACCTTTCAGTGTCCAAAACACTTGTTTCTTCACATAGAGGCCAAAGGAATATGATCACACTTGAAAAACTTAAGAACTTATAATTCAACACGGCAGTAAAAGAAGCACATAATTACAGAACTAAAGGAAAAGACATGCCAAGTATCAGAAACACACCTCCTGGATCCTATCATGCTAAGTACTAATTATTCCAAAGATAGGGTCACGAAGAAAGGCCCTTCACCTGGTTGACTCACTGTATCTCTGATCCGTTACAATAAAAACACATTTGCATCCTCTATATTCTGGTCCCTTTCCAAACCAAGTAAATCACTTCACCCCTGTTTACAGGCTGCCCCACACCCACGGCTGTCAGGCAATCAGGCTAAAGGCTTACTCTCGCTGACATCACATTAACATTAAGGGGGGGAAAAACCTTTCAAAAATAGAGCAATTTATTTCCCTCCTCATTTATGAGTTGTCAAATGCCTAAAATTTCCCTGGCTTGTTAAAGATAATCATACTAACCAATTTGCCTGGTGTCTTTCAAAGGAGCATCAATTATTTCGCTGCAAGACCTGAGCTATTGTATATCTTAAAACCCCTGCCTCCTGGATGAATCCAAGAAGAGACAAAGAATCTTGGGAAAAAAGTCTTGAAAAAGAAAGAAGCATTCAGGGGTCCCGCAGTATGGCTTACATGCCGCACTGTCCACCATCAGATCTGAGCGGCAGGCCCCTCTTCGGGAAGGTGGTTCTCAAAACCGGCAGGAAAAGCTTGGAGGCAGGAGCTCCCAGGCTGCACCCTGCCTCTCAACAATACTTGAACAGGCTTGTGCACCTACTTGATAAATGGAAGTACTACTTGCTTCTCTCCCAAGCTTGCCGGGGCCCTCTTGAATGTTTTTCTTGACTCTTTACCAAAAATGCAATTGGCAGCCAGCTCCCAGAAGACAATGCAATATGACTTGTTCATTCAAAGAACCCTTAATTAGCATCCCATCTCCTTTCTGAGCTACAATAGCTTATTTTTACACACTGAACACATTTCCCCCCCTTTTAGGAGAATGTAGAAAAAGAGACCAGATAAGTGTGGGTGCTTTTGAATATGAGGTGGGGGAGCTCTGCAAGTGTAGTTGTATCTAAGAGCACAAGTTCATGTTTAAATTATTTTCATGAACAGCTTTTTAGGGTTTCCCCATTGTGGTGCTAACAATGGTATGATAGATGCAGAAAATGCAAGGAAGGAAAATGCTCTCTTACAGATAATATTGTGAAGGTACAGTAATTGTAGGTAATTCAAAATAGCATGCTACCTAGCAGAATATAACCCCAAATCACCACTATTCTTCTGCTAACTGGTCTGATCCTTTCAGTAAAATTATCTATTAATTCCAAGAATTCGTGATTTAAAGGGGAAAAAAGAGGTTTTCAGAGGATCGTGTATCCCTTGTGCAAACAAGTAATTAGCAAACCCTGACTATAAAGATTCTGGACACCAACCAGTTCTTCATAATTAGTGGTTCATAGCCAAAGCAGGATGCAATGCAAACTCATAATTTTATAATCTTTTCTTTCTTTGACCTTCCCTCTTGCCCCCACCATGGTAGAGCTATTTGGGTATAAAGAAGAAAGTCCAGCTAGTTGTTTAGTTGCCTGGGAAAAATCTTTTTAAAAATTTACTTTCTTCTTAAATTCTATGCATTTAAAAATCAAAGAGATTTTGCTCTATGAGCTAAAGTCCTGTATCATCATATAGAGCAGTGATGGCGAACCTATGACACGTGTGTCAGAGGTGACACGCGAACTCATTTTTTTGGTTGATTTTTCTTTGTTAAATGGCATTTAAATATATAAAATAAATATCAAAAATATAAATCTTTGTTTTACTATGGTTGCAAATATCAAAAAATTTCTATATGTGACACGGCACCAGAGTTAAGTTAGGGTTTTTCAAAATGCTGACACGCCAAGCTCAAAAGGTTTGCCATCACTGATAGAGAGTGGCTCTAATTAAATAAAAAGAAGATGGGCTGTTTCATTTGGGTACATTTTCATATGAGAGGGATAGAATGGGTCAGATTGTCTACTGTTTTTACACTGTAGTTAGTCTTTTTCTTGGTTTTCCAAATGAATATTACTAGCATAGTATAGCAATTTAATATTAAAAGTACCTTCACTAAGAGATCATTCAATCCCTTTCAGAATCATTTGAGTTAGGTAGAGCAAGTAGCAAGTATTATTATTATTACTATTATTATTATTATTATTATTATTACTACTAGAGACCTGGTACATGAAATTTGTGCATGGGGGGGTCTGTATCCTCTCCAATCCAAGACCCCTCGGAGGATGTCTGACAGCATCTCGCAATCCGGGACTACTGGCTCCTAACCACTTGCCTGCCTGCCTGCCTGATAACCCCTAACCACCTCTGCCTGCCTGCCTGATCGCCCCTAACTGCTCCCCTGCTGGCCTGATTGCCCCTAACCACTTCTGCCTCATCCTGCACCCAGGACCCAGGATTCCCTCCTCTGGCTGGTTGCAGGCACCCAGGACATGGGCTTCCCTCCCTCTGGCTGGCCACAGACACCCAGGACCCAGGCCAGCTTTGCCCAGACTGGCAGCAGCTGCAGGGAACTGTGGGCGGGCAGCTTTGCCAGGGCCATAGACACAGGAGCCTGGGACCTCGAGGCGGGCAGCTTGTCTCCTCTCCTGGGCTGCAGCTGCAGGTGCAGATGCAGCTGTTGGTGCCCAGAACTGTGGGGCGGATGGCGTATCCCTCTCCCGGGCCGCAGCCTGGCTGGTCGCCATTCCTCTCTCCCCAGTGTTGAGTGCCTAAGCCTTTACAGCATGATGGCGTGAGGGTGTGACAACCATTTACATATTATCTTTTTATTTATATAGGATATCTTTTTACAACAGAGGAAACTGAAACCCAGATGTTTTGCTAGGGGTCTTTTGGAAAATTCCTTTGGGGGCTAGGACCCTCTGAGCAAATATTACTTTATAAATTCAACTTGTCCAATCTCTATCTCTTAACTGCACATTTGTCTCAGGCTCTAGACCAGGGGTGGGCAAACTTTTTGACTCGAGGGCCACAATGGGTTCTTAAACTGGACCGGAGGGCCGGAACAAAAGCATGGATGGAGTGTTTGTGTGAACTAATATAAATTCAAAGTAAACATCATTAAAAAAAAGGGTGGACCCTCTGAGCAAATATTACTTTATAAATTCAACTTATCCAATCTCTATCTCTTATCTGCACATTTGTCTCAGGCTCTAGACGTTATTTCTAGACACTTAGTAGACTTACCCATCCAAAGGTCTCCAGGAGTCTTCAAACTTAGATGAAAAATGGAACTCACTTTC